GAGATAAAAATATTTTTTACATGTCGCTTCCTGGGCTTATATGTCAACTTAGTTATGAAATAAGTTTAAATATACTCGCGTAATAACCGCAAATTTGGCCTCAGATTTCAACCCTGTATTTGCTCTGCGGTTTATAAGGATATATAAAAATATCTGGGGAAATATACTAGGCGCAATACTTGGTTACCCGATTCAAATTGAGGTGCGGCTTATAGGCGCCCGCGGTTATTACGCGATCATATACGGTAGTAGAGGATTTTGACCGGGAAAAAAATTGCATAAAGATGAATTTCACACCAGATGAGCAGGATGCAGGTTATTACGCGATCATATACGGTACATATTTCCGTTTTGAAAATTAGTGTTTTTTTTTAACGATGAGTTGTATAGAAAAATTCCTTCTGTATAACAACCTAAAACATGAAAATAAAACCTACTAGTTTATAAGATATTGATGTACATTTATTGTACATGTACACGTACAATGTAATACGTTTACACGTATGTGGTAGATATATAAATATATTTTCTTTTCTCTGTCGTATTGAACATGCAGGTCTACAGATCGTTCAACCGAGCCGGCTGGTGTTTGTCACATAATGCTACATTGGACAGAGTGGATGGAGTAGGCGTGAACTTTGACAAGCCTGTCAGAGAAGGGGCAGCACTCACAGCTGGACAGGCCGACTACCAACAACCATCTGATCAAGACGCCTTCTCACCGATCTCCGACCATGGTTACGCCAGTGTACCTATGTCGCCAGTGAAGTCTGCTGTACCAGAGATCACAGATCTATCATGCTATGATACCCTGTCTGAACATCATTATGCTACATTGCGGACGTCGACACCAATCCATCGTGGCTGTTCTCAGCGATTGGAGACTTGTGAAATGGATGGTTTCTACCCACTGGATTTGCAGGCAGAGAATCACTCAGTACATGTAGATGTGTTTCCATCTGTAACAGTTATGGAGCTCACAGATTCAGAAATTGGAGCATATATCGAGATCGAGACAGAGGTAGAACACAGCACAGCGAGGTGACACACTCGACTCTGGTGAGTAGGCCCTCTAGCGGCCGTTACGATCAGGAGCGGTAATCATTAGTGTTACTTTCCCCCGGGCATAGATGGACAAGATGGCGTCGATGGCGTAGATCAAAGTCCAAATCTTCCACAGAAAGATTCCACATTCCTATTTAATTAGAATAATTGTCATTCAATAAACTCAAAATTCACAGAGATTATAGCTAAGACATGTGTCTATAATAGCTAGAATTTATAGAAATGTAACTCAAATCGTTTGCGCCATATGATAGTTAAGCCCGGCGCACACATGGCGATTTTTATCGACAGTACCGGCGCTTTTTATCGACAGCACTGTCGATAAAAATCGCCACGTGTGCGCCACCCGGCGACAATGCAACCATCTGTCAGCGACATACCACTGTATGAACTGTACGTGACCTGTTCAAACCACACCACGGGCGCTGCCATAATTTTGATCACGTGCTTCAAATCATGCATTGAATGGTTAATCCAAAACTGTTGCCTTGAATCCGGCCTGCGTCAGCGCAACGTAGCCGTTGTTCACGACTGACTGGCGGCCCCAACAAATAATCAAACCGTGTTGATATTCCAGCACGAGTTCTGGCCGTCAAAATTCGGTGACGCCGTGCAGTGCACACCGTGGCGGGATTTTCTCGGCGATTTTGTTTGGCTTTGCAACCCAAAAATCGCCCGGGTTAACTGGGTTTCCATCCCATAATAACACG